TGACACATTACTGTCGGATCTACGGTTTGTACCGGCTTCAAGCTGGAAGCGCGTCTTCTACAACGACTTCCGCATTCTACATTCTCAGGGCCGCCGAACGGATGGAACGACAAATGATTGAGACACAAGCCAGATACGGATCGGAATCATTGACGCTGCATCGTTGTTGATGATTTTTAGAATGAATTAGAATTAGTACGTCTTCATCATACTAACCATAACAGTTGGGTCCTGGTCAAAGGTGCTCGGATTTCATTTTTCATTATCTCCTCACTCTTTGGGGTTTCTGTCTCCTTGAATGTCACAAGCCCCTCAAAGTGAAATAGCGAGATGGCCCAAGTGGTAGGAGCGCGAATTTACTGACAGGAAGGTCCGTGGTTCGAACCCGACCTCTGCCTCTCGACTTCCCCTGTCTAGGCTTGGGCAACTTGGCAGTATCCCAGCACTCTTGCTTTCTGCGGGTGGCGTGGCAGCTACAGCCGAACGATTTTTTTTTCGAAATAAAATGGAGGCCCCCAACACAATGTCATTTGAGAGGAGGGCGTTACATACACTGAACTAGGTGACAGGAGGCGGTTGGGCCCAAGGCCACAAGGATTGTGGATAAAAGCCGCTATCAACAAAGAATTAAGCACAAGATATAGGTACTCATTCAAGCATCCAAATAAACTATTAATGACAGAGCAAATTTCATCGGGAACATCCTGCCGAAAATTCACAAGGCAGATGATCAAACAGAATCGGTGACGGACGGTACGGCGAGTTTCTGCCACAGAAGCTAACTTGATTCCCAAAACCACTTACAGTGAAGTTAATCGTTCACATTAGAAGGTCGTACAAACTTGCCAGACGAATAGAAGAGTTTTCTCAGTAGATCGATACATTTACACTAACTCTATCTATACAGGAAACACTGTGGCGGTTTCCTTGGAGCATGGAAAGATGTTCTTACTGGAAGATGGATTTAGCGAGCCGACACAGGTCTGATCAAGATACGTATCAATCTTGATTGGTTCGTCCTTGGCTCACTTGTTTACCCCAAAAGGGAGGTCTAACCATGAGATCTACAACATCATCGATTTGGGCAGATATTTATGTGGAGAATGCTGGGTGTTCACCGAGAATTTTTGGCGCCATGTAGACGCCCACCCAACTGCGCACTGATATGTCTCCCCCGTTTAGTGATGAAACGTTTGTAACCAAATTGCCAAGCTTGGCGAACAGATCAACAACCAATAAAAACGAAACCCCTATTTAGCCTGCTCGCAGGAAGAGATCATAACGATTAATCCAGCGTCTACCTGGAAACTGGTCCAACCATGTAACCTGGCCCGACGGAGCGTTTTGCTCAAGGACAGACCTACCGATCTGTTTCCAAGCTCTCCTGAAACGATGACTTCTCAATCTGGGCTTCTACCTCTGGTTGATCGTACCTTCCTCTAGGAATTCAGAACTTAGGTCCCGGAGATTCTGCCTCAGGTAATCTACCATATTGGAAGCGCATGTAACCTCTGGTTTCACCCGGTGTTCCTCATAACTTATAACTTCTCCACTACGATCTGAGTCACAAAGTTGCTGAATTGATCGGGCCGCCTTATAGCTAATGTCCCAAGCACTGGTTCATGGTTGATGACGATACCCTGAAGTTAACTGACTTTTGAGCGTAATAAGTTATTTTGACTGAGGGGATGCTGTCTTTGGGGGGTAATTCATTTGGCCCTAAGGCATTACAATATGTTCTAGAATAAGGTTAACCTCGCTGTCCATTATTGCAACTCTGATTGCGGAACTCAAGTGAAAGGTGGGTTCTCTGCAAAGATCTCAGGGGATCTTTGTAGCCTCACCATTCTAGTTAGGATACAAAATTTTCCGAACTATGGTTTTGATTCGCTTCTGATTGGAAAAGTGTGGCGATAGAATCTGTACAGTTAAATGAACATGATCCACACAGTGTTTGGAGGCCTGGTCACTACTCACAATGTCAAAGCAGTAGTATCGCTTTTGCTCGCACAGACTAGAAGGAACAAACGCATAATCCCAGTGATACAGTCGGAAAAACACAGCTTAGGATACATCTCAGCAGTGACAGATCACAAGGAAAAAGTGATGGTTGACGACTGTCCTGCGAACTATGTGGGTCACGCATTGATTTTTCCAGAGAGCCAGAGCAATTAACCACGTGACAAACGCTATCGTCATTTGTCTGTTGCAAACGGAAGACCAGATCATTCATTGTAGCCTACCAAGTACCACCGAGTGCTCAAGACCGTTCAGGGGACCATGCCATCATCTCGCTGCCAGCGATGAGAGATACGTGAGGGTTTTCAGATAGCCTTGGCCTAGAAGTTAATCCATTTACTACTGAATTTTATCCTGTTCATTATACTGGCAGTATGATTACCACGTGACATATTAACACATTGTTCTACCTTATCGATCTAATTGGCGGGTGAGACAACTGAAAACGAGTGTTCACAAGAATGGGTTTATCCCACTTGAAAAAGAACCATAGAGGGATCAAACTGACTGAAGACAATCCAGGCATAGGACGATATTTACTCTAAGAGCCCTTAAAAAAACTGTTACGTACCTTTTGTAATGCACTACTCATAAGTTTGCTGGAAATTCGTCGACAGCCCATGACAGGTTTCGCCCCTCTTGGAGCTCATCAGGTAGGCGCAGTCCTCGAGTTTCAGTCAACCTTAGTTTCTACTTGAAACCAAATTGCACGGAATTAGCGAATATACACTCGTTTGCAAACTAATTTGGTCTTTCGAGAGACTCACCTGGAACCTAGCTGAATCTCTCGTTTGTGATGTTCCCAGGCAACTGAATCTGCTGCACCAGGCCGCCTCATGTTTCAGTCGCTACGATATTCGAGATATCGCGACACATGTATATCTTTGTAATGTACTACTCATAAGGTTGCTGAAAATCCGGCGACAGCCCACGANACTTTGGGCTCATCAGGTAGGCGCAGTCCCCGAGTTTCTGTCAACCTTATGTTCCACCTTCTATGTTATGTTACGTCCCCTGACTTGAAAACTGCAGGCATACAACGATGTTTCACAAGCTTCTGACGCTTTTGGCCTCGATTACGTGATGCGACATATTCTTGTTCGCAGATCCCAAAGCGAACGGAATAATTATTCAAGACGTAAATGATGTGCTTGTTCAACCTCTTACACCTTAATATACCAGCATTTTCTGCAAACGCCAGGTGGTTGGCTGTTTGTACACAAATTTTGTGAAGGTGATACATTGCTCACAGGGTTGCTGAAAACCCCTCGAGGGCTTACATCTAGATTAGCTCTTGTTTGAGTTGATCAATTAGTGTGGATCATCACGAAGTAGTGACCCAGCTGAATCCACTTGATTCCCCCGTCAGAACCAAATTTGTGTGCAAATGAGTGTATTTGTTTGTCGATAACGCATTCGATTGGGGCTAAATAGTTCTCATGTCTGCGCGGCATGAAGTACTGTTTGTAGGCTTCTCCTACGACCACTAAGCACGGCACGTCACCGAACAGACGAGAACCCGCCCAGGTGCGGAAGCCCAGTTTTCTGAATTTCTCTTCGCAAGTTCGGTGGAAAAAACAACGAATTACTAGCTGTAATAAGCTGGTTAGGTGTGAACTGGTAACGAGTTGGGCAAGAGTCTAGTGAAAACTTGAAAAAAAGCTCATAGGTCATAATACTACTGTGCCGGTGAATACTACTGATGGGACATGCGAGTAGTGTTTTCTCCTAAATCCGCTTCGCGTCTCTTGGAAAGTGAGTTCTATTACGGAATTTGTGGAGTCGCTTTGTAGCATTTGCTTGCATTTGAACAACTGTCAATGAATATCCAGAAAGGTTCAAAAATACGCGTTCAAGAAGAAGACGGGTATTGTTTTTGCCAACAAGATTCATAGGCGAGTTTTGCTTCCGTGTTCAACAGTCTGTANGCTTTGTAGCATTTGCTTGCATTTGAATAACAGTCAATAAATATCCAGAAATATTCAAGAATACGCGTTCGAGAAGAAAACGGGTATTGTTTTTGCCAACGAGATGCAAATGCGAGTTTTGCTTCCAAGTTCAACAGTCTGCAACTGTTCATTTGGCCTTTCACTAGTTGGGGTTTGCTACCTTGACAGCACCTTAATTCTTGTATATATTGCGGTGTGCATGATGATCACACATTCACCATAATCATGCTACAGACAGAGGTTGCAAGACATTAAACGGCACAATATGAAACGCAAATTAACCAGCACACTTCACGAGGCGGAAACATCCGTGTTACGAAATGACGCAAGTTAGATTAAAGCGCAACGCACTCAACAATTCGTTCGTCGGGGCCAACCATGAACAAACAACACGGTGAATCGATTGACCGATCGATCGGTGAGTGAGCATACGCAAGGTATGCACGAGCCGTTTGAAGTGCTACACCAGAGCTAACAGATACAACGGATCGACTCAGATACAATCGGATCAGATCAGTGGGTGAGTTTGATTCTCCCCAGAAGTGATGCGTTTCTTCCCCCCTCGCACTTCAGGATTCTTGTGTTTATTCTTCTTTGTAGCCTAAAAATGCCCTTCAAGCATCGTACTTACAATTCAAATTAGGTGAGGTAACTATGGGCAGGTACCCATGATATTCTCGGTCCACTTATACCTGACTGATGTAGCCAATTCAGCTACTTGTACCAGTATCACGAAAGTCATATAATTGAACGCATCTTCGCTAATAGTGAATATTTCTTTAGGGTTATGCCTGTCTCTTTTCACACCGACAGTGTTTTGTCTCAAACAAACCCGATGTCTTGGATATTACAACAGAGCAGTGCGTTTAAAACGCCAATGGTCTGACAAAAGTCGTTTTTAGATGTCTTGAGGTGGATCAGGAATTAGACAAACACCCACGTGCCTTTTTCGGCACGTGGGCTGTTCACCCAAGGAATGCGCAGATGGGACGTTGGTTGCTACACGAATTTGAAGACATCCGGCCATTTGCGTCACTTGGCTAATTGAAAGATGGTGTCCGGTGACCATCTCACGCGAACATAGTTTTTTCTCTCTTGGATCATGGCTTTCAAACACACGAAATCACGTTGACCGATTGTTCCCGCCTCGGTTGCTGCGGTACCTCTCATCGCGACGTTTAAGTACAGTTGAACATTTGAAAACATAGGCACCAAACCTACGTGTCCCAAGGTTTTCTCCAGTGACCTATTTAATGAGAGTGAATAGTGCCTTCGTCGAAACTCTACACAAGTGCTCAAACTGTTGCCGGACTGAACAAACAACTGTCCGACTGGAAATCGTGTTTCCGTAAGCCAGTGCTCATGAAGGACAACATACAAACAAGATATCTTGGTAAGATAAATTCTGGTACGAAAGACTCCTAGTTGGAATACACAGTGATTCAACACAACAGTGGCACAAACGAGTCAGCTAAATGAATGCTCTTTTCAGGCCTGACAAAGCATTTATATAGGCCGTCTGACATAGCAACTGGCTGTCGGGCCGAAAAATGACCGGCGCGACGAGAAGAGTCATAGCAACTCGTTTGTCTGAACGGTCGTTTGAAGAGTACGGTGAAACCAATCCAATAAAATAAGACATGTTGAGGTACGACTCCCAACAAAGCGACCGAGCGGTATATTCTCGAATTCCTCAATTTATTGCGTCTACTGAATTGAACGGCCAGCGTGCAGTTATACTGGAGAATTGTGTAAATTGGTACCTGACTACCAGGTCTATCTTCTTTGTATTGCGCACGCAGTTTTCTCTTACGAAGTGGAAATTTCCGAAAAAAAATTCTCGGAGTCAAAGTAAACAGCTTGCGACAAAACATTCTCTCGTGCATGCTGGGCATGGTAACTTGAAACGGTCCTTTATAGAGGCAAAGAAACATTGCTACAGCTATTTATAGGGTTATCGTAGTATGTTCCGCAAGGTCACGCTAGGAACTTCGTGGGCGAGAAGCACCGATTTTGATTGGCTGGCACTCTGACCAATCAGGATGTGGTTTCGTCCAGTTCATGGCACGTAGGCATCGTATCAGTCTAGCCGACGTGGTATTCGGTTATTTAGTGCGGCTGGCTTCCGGACGCTTTCCATTCTGTGCACACCGACGGAGAAATGCTTTTTTATAATGGTGCTAAGTTTCTATGAATGCGAAAATCAACAGAGACTCCTAGGGTGATCGTTCTGAGTTTTAAAAAAATACCCTCCAACGAAGTGACCATCTACTGTTTTGCTTGACGTATGTATACAGTTTCTACTTTGTTACTTTGGAGGAGGTCCCAGGGGGGTCTGTATATTCAATACTGAAACTAGGTTTTCCAATAAAGGTCTTTCCACATTAAAGCCAATTAAAAATGACATAATACGAAGTTCGATGTTGAGTTTGTAGTTTCTATGTCACGCAGAACAAAAAGAAGCGACCAACACGCTTAAAGTGATGCAGATTTTAGAAGCCGACCTTCGGTTAATCATTGAAGACAAACTCGAGGAATCCCATGACCAAATCGCTTTTTTCCGTACTTCAGGTGAAAAGAGCTGTAAACTTCGAGCGAACGGATCGTTTGACTCCCGTTTTCTCAGAACCAATCACGGAATGGACTAACCACGAGCGAACGTAGTTCAAGCGGGCAAGGAACGCAACTAACGTTCTTTGGTTTTGAATCAAAACACTCGCTCCCTGACATGGAACGGAACATTTCGGTCGATTATCGGGAAAGCAACAACGGTGAATTACATTCGGTCACAATTGATTCGATCTGGCTAACCTCTGTTATAACAACCCCTGAATCCTATTTTTACACTAAAACACATTTCCCCCCATAAAATTACAAGCGACAAGTTTCTCGAGTAGACGGTTCACGTGATCAGAGTTTCTCACCTGCTTACCCACTTCAGGAATTTTTTCATCTGTTTTGGACTTGGTCCTCCGTTTCGTCGCGTGGGTATTCTTGCATAACAGAGAACAAATTTCCCGTGGTCCTGTGACAGAACACATAACACTTACGAGTCTCCTCATCAACGAAATATGTCCTCGAAGAGATTTTTTCATAGAGGGGATAGGGGAACAATGAGAAGCAACCTCGACGCACTCTACACTTGATCAGCGAGAATCAAATTGAATCGGAGTGTCTTGAAAGTAGGTTTGGTTAAAGTGAGGAAAGAAATCTCCCCTATGGCCACAATACTAAGTATGCAACTAAAGACTTACATAACGAATTGCTTGATGAACGACAGTTTCCGCGACCTGTCATCCGAAACAGTTATGTAAATCCTACTTTGCCATACTCAGGTAAGGGCGACAAAACGCGACGACGCAACTTATGACGACAGAGGCAGCAATGTTGAGCTGTTTCATATTGCTTATTTCTACGTAGCGCCTTTTTGCGACCGAAAACCGCGCGTCAATCAGTACCAATTTGACCGAGGCATGTCTACCAATGGTGAGAAAGTGGCAGTCACGCTGGTGTCGTGGTGCGCTTTCCTATGATCGTCACATAATCGTTTTGTGAGTAGGAATGTGCCCTCTATTTGTCTTCGAGGTTGTTTTAACCGAACAGAAACCACTCGAGTTGCAGTGTCCTATCGAACGAATGTCCACGAGGTGCAGTGGTAAACTTCTAAAGGCCTGTCCCGACGCAGTCTTCTCATCCATCGATCGCCACTTTGACACCAAAAGCGTAACTAACAACTACGACCGACAAGATAGGGGGGAACAGATGATCGTAAATTGTTTGGGCGTACTCGATTTTTTTGCGTAGCAACGATGTAGAAACCAGCGGAGATTTCTATCCGGTTTGTGAACTAAATTCCGTTCTGAAGCTAGTCAGCCACACTAGTCTCAGTTTCCAAGCAGTCCCATCCATCGACGAGTGTTTACTAGACTTTTATCGAGAGTTCTGAAGTTCGTATAAACAAATTTGACCTTGAAGGGAAAACAAATGTTTCGAACTATTCCTAGCAGCACGTGTCCAGTGGATTTTGTGTCTAAACACATCGAGTGTCACGCTGGGAAACGAGATTGACAGATTGACGTAACACAATCAATTCCAGGAATCCTAAAAACGGGAAAAATGATCGGAGATCGTAGTCGAACAGGCTTCTTCTTGGATTGTTGATTGACATGTGTTGGACAAACAACAATGCAAGCGAAACATGCACTGAGAATCAAGACCGACGTGAACTGGATAGAAGACAGGCACCAAGTTTTCAAGTTAGAAGGTCATCAACAACCAATTGATATCCTATTTGTCCATGACCAAACCTAGCCCCCAAAAAAAGACCGCTTAGTTAAAGGTAATTAAATAGTTTCAAAGCATGTCAATCACATTGATTTGGCTTAGAGGACCGCAAGATCCCTCTTTCAGATGAAAAACACACGAGAACATACGCAAGTGACGGGAGTTAAGAAGAATTAACTGCCTATCCTCCTCAAACTTGGCATTTGCGCTATCGACAGCCTGGGTGAAGAATCGAAATCAAATGCCAACAGAGTGTGGTCAGTGTATCCGAATAGGTGTCTTCGCTACACAGCGGATGAGCACGAAAGACTAATTTTCTAATAAGAAGTCTGGACTTCTGATATCGTATACGCACCGACATTATTCTGAAACTGCTTCTAGTACTCCACGCACTGGTACGTTCTCGGGAATAGTTCACTTTAACTAATCATCCTTGAACCAGAAAAAGCCCATGGGGCAGTCTCTGCTTTTGGAAAACAAGTTACTGACCACGTTTTCAGTAGTATAAGTAAATAAGCAAATAATTACTCGGTGCCCAGTTGACGACACATCAATCGGGAATTAGTTGAGATTTCATCCTGAAAGCAAAGTGAGATCATTCTGAAAAGGCGATGAGCATTGCCACTTTGTTACGAGTATCACTATTTCAGATTGGTAATGTTGAGGGCTTGGATAGGCTTACTCATCGTCACTGGCTTAAATTTCGGGCTTAGCGTGGCAACGCGTTTCCGAAAACGTCAGGTCAACGACGCTTTCTTTCCACACGGGAGGGGGGTCATATGGTTGGATGCATTTTGAGAAACGAACAGAGGACGGTAAACCTCAGAAGATCCCACGGAGTATAAGACGAAGAAGAGAAAAAAATTTACAAGTAAGATTTTCGTCAAAAAAAAGTTATCCAAACTGCTGGTGACCCGAGATGGTCCGCAATACTGTAAAATAGTCGTGAGGGGTATCCAGTGGTGGATTCATCAAGTGTTCTATACAAAGGATTGAGAGCTTCCAGGAGGAATAAAAACTCGCACTAGATTCGGCTCAGTCGTTGTAGAAACTCGATCAGCGTTCTGGTAGGCCGACCTGCAGGAAGAAAATGTGTGGTGAATATTTTCGTATGACTGTATCATCACTACACGGTGTTTAAGTAACCCATTCCCACATGGTATTTAGTTCTGTAGGCTAGAAATGAAGACAACCGAGTGGTGAGTTAAGACGGGAACTCGCGGAAACCGATCTGATGATGCTTCTAACGCGCGCTCAATAGTAGGGAAAAATTTACTGGTTTCCTTGACCAAAAAGTGGAAACTACCTACAGGATTTTCATGGAACCTGCCTGTAGTATCAAAGCATCAAAAGGTTTGGAGGTCCTTTCAGTACGACCCGTGCCTGATAACTCAAAAGTCCTGGTGAACGAAGCAGTGAGAGGGATTGGACTGTGAAGTACGGTCTCTCTTCCAAAAACAAGCTATGGTCATCATCACGCATAGGGGATGATCCCGAGCACACAGACACAATTTGATATGATGGCTAGGGCAGAGCTCGAGAAAGGTCGGTGATCAAGGAGCGAACTTTCTAACCGGAAGGTCTGTAGTTCGAACCCAACCACGGCATCTCGACTGCATCTGCAACCTAACAGAAACTCAGCCTTCGTTCTCCCTTCGAGTGGCATCGCGGCTAGGCGCTGAGAGTGTGTTACGCCGGACGATTCTGATATTTCGGTTTCCGCGTTCATTCCGTATAATGGATTGGGTTCGAACCACGGACCTTCCGGTCAGTAAGTTTACACCTTAAACACTGACTACAAGTCAGTAATAAGTGAACCGCACTCGCCAACGCTAGCGCACAACCTTCTCTTCAAGAGATGTGGTTTCAATAGCTGAGTTTTCCGTCCTGGAAAAGCACAACCTCTGTTTTCATGAACTGTCAGAGAAATGCCGACGGGTTTGAAAAAATGCTCGACTGGCCTTACATTTTACAATGGAGGAGGGGGGAGACAGAACGATCGATTGAGTGTATGCATGAGTCGAGTTAGCTTTCTCTCGGCTTGGGATGGTCGCTCTCGAAAAAGAAGCCGGGATTCAACCAGAACCGCCGGCGTAGAGCGGCCTGGAGTGTGAGGGGAGAGCACTCATAACCCGCTCATGGGTTAGTCGAACTTTGGATGGATAAGTCAGCAAAACGGCGTCGATAGCAGATTCAAACTATTCCCTCGTTTGATTTTTTCAACAAAATGCTACACGGTCCAGTAAGACCGGTAATCAAGACACAAAATATGCCGGGAGCACTTTGCTTTACGGTTTCCTTCATTGGTACTAGGTGAAAAAGTACAGTTGAGCGGCGAAAATAGACGGTAAGCTACAGCCCGGAGTGCTGAACCTGACTTGGTGCTCACTAAGAGTGAACGTTGTTTGGAACAACGTGACAATGAAGGGGTCGTTAGTTAGTGATCCAATCTATCCGGAAGCCACCAGACGATGGTTTGTTCTTCTGGCACTCGTTAGGACGAAAACATCAAGCGGCGTTCGGACCATTTCGTGAAGAGAAAATACACACAGAACTAACCCGCCATTCCTTTGCGCATGTACCCTTGTCGGAGGTCGGGTTTCATCACTCCAGCAATGTCCAAATGCATCCAGGGAATGTGCTTGGGGACAAAAAACTGGAAGAAGGAAAAGATAAAGGAAGTCACGGACCAAATAAGGATGGTATACCAATTTTAAGGAAGGTCGGGACCAAATAGGACGAATGCGGACTCACATTGAGAAAGGCAGCCGCTGTACCTGAACCACCCTTCTTCGCGTTCGAAACGCCAGCGACATTCATCAAGTCTGCTAGGTGTGCTTGCTCGCATAAAGGTATGGTGGAGAGAAGAGGGAGATTCCACACTCGGTCCCCGCGTATGGTTGCACTTGTACGCAAACAATCCCACAAGGTCGGTCCTCGACCTGCAGACAGCCTCATGAGTGGCTGTTCGATCTGCAACCCGACTTCCACGTCTTCCTCGTCTTCGGTATCCTCGATGGGCTCCACATCCTCCTCCTCAGTCTCCGTAGCCAGAGGAGAAGATGGGGCTTTAGTGGACTGCCAGATTGTGGCTGTGGCTTTACGACTAGCAGCGTGGTTCGAAAAGACTCCGGTAAATTCGTCTCCCAGAGCAGCGCTAATCGCGCCTGTCAGGGTGGCGACATCTATGATCAAAGACGGCTCTTCACCAACAAAGTCCGGATGTTTACAGGCAATGTGTAGGGCATCGGCGAGGATGAGTCGACCTTCTGCATCGGTATTGTCCACCTGAAAGCAATAAGCAGGGAGTGCTGCGATAGGAAACTAATACAAAACAAGTTCGGTATATGAAGCCTGAGTCAAACACCTAATTGCTTTGGCGAGAAGACTTTGGCACACTTGTCCAGTGAGATGGCCGAAGTGGTTAGAGCGCGAATTTACTGACCAGAAGAGCCGTGGTTCGAACCCGACCCCTGCCTCTCGACTTCCCCTGTCTAGGCTTGGGTAACCTGGCAGTATCCCAGCGCTCGTGCAACCTTCGGGTGGCATGGCAGTTAGGCACCGAAAGGGTGCTACAGCTGAACGCTTCCAGTGAACCGAATTCCGAAGTTGTAGCGGGAATACGTGGCCGATTGATTAATGAAACAGATCATCCAGGTTCAATCGCTAAAAAGCAATTTTACATTGGTCTGTGATCCGTCCTGACAACCGGAATATCTGCTGTTATTTCAGAAATATATAAATAAAGCTAACTTATTGATGCGGCGAGGTTCAGGCACATCAACTAGCTACCCAACATCTGTAGACACTTCGCTCTGTCTAAGGAACGGAATAGGGTCCAAGACGTATCTGCTCATTATCATCGTCATTATTATTGACAGCGTGACATTAGTGCTCACCACCGATGTTTCAAAGCCTTGTTGTGAACAAAAGGTGGACGGAGAAGGGCCTTAGTGCTAGCTTAACACAATCAGTCCGAGGTGCCTACACCTCCAAGCACTCATTCAGGGAATCTGGATAGAAATTGATAACAAGAACGCCACCGACATCTGTAGTGTCTCCAACCAGGCGCAATGACGAACACGCGGTCCCCGTTCTGGAAGGCGAACAGCACCGACAGCACCCAAACGTTTCGTGGTTTCTTTCATACCCCTCTGCCGGGTCAAGGGTTAGCCACCTCTCTGTTTACACCACTCTGAATTGGACATGAAAAACAGTACTCTCTACGGCAAACGATGACCAGGCATACACGCAACACATGTCCCAACCAACGCAGCTTCTGGTGCTGGACACATTCTTCGATGGAGGTGCCCGTTGCACAACTCTCGTGAAACTCACTATTTAGTTCGTCGATCCACACGAGTTATGGTTCTGAAACGTGTCTACTGGTCAGAAAGTGGTTAAACCGCCGGACATGTGCACACACTGAGCTGAAAGTGGTAGTGCGTGCAGGACACCGGAGATGCTGTAAACCCGGGATTGGTGAACATCAAATCTCCACCAATTCATGGTAGTGTTAGTGTGGGTTAATGGCGGTGGTGCGCAGGGTAGGATAAGTTATCCTCATACATTAACAGGAATAACATAGCGTGATTTCCACATTATAGCAATGAGATCACGCCGATGAACAGGACGGGCGTCAGAGAAACATACAGACAGTTATGCCGGTAAATAGAAGTTTGGTGTGTCATTCCATAAAGCCGGTATGACACGTCCAAGACGGCGACCAAACCGCTTGGTGACGGAGAACCATGGACAACGGAGAGACAGAGATTGACTTACCTGAACGGTTAAACCGTTAGCCATCCGAATGACATCACCAGGTCGCATTGCTCCACCACCTGGCATGTTCTCGCACAGCGGGAGATAGGCACGCACGTTAATCGGGGCACCGAAAGAAGCCAGACCAAACACGGTGGACGCCACGACAGCAGCACCACCTGTGAACAAAGCAGAAGAGTGAAACGTCTAATAATAATCCACCTGTGAACAAAGCAGAAGAGTGAAACATCTAATAATAACAATAATAATAATAATTCACTTGTAACAACCATTTGGTACCTAACTGTCAGGCCACCCGAAGGAAACACGAGGGCAAGTGCACTACAGGTTGCCCACGCCTAAAGAGGGGAAGTCGAGAGGCAGAGGTCGGGTTTGAACCACAGATCTTCCAGTGAGTAAATTCGCGCTCTAACCACTTGGGCCCCAGGGTGGTTCGAAATGGGTAACATTCACCAAAGTTGTCAAATCTATGATACACCCGACAATTCCAGCACAACGTCGATGCTGTCACTGACATTTAGACAAAAAAGTATCCCCGAAAGAACTGCGAGCGTCCACGGCCGATTGCAAGTCCTTTGTCCTTGGTTTGTTTGATTAGCACTGACAGAATCTTGCATGCATTCCATCATTTAGACTTAGCATTGGTGTGCGAAGAACGGACCATACTGGGGCCGACAGAGATCCTAGTATGGACAGCAGATTCCAGCGCTTTTCAACGCGTAAAACGATGTAACTAGCGGTCGAAAAACGCGCCCCCTCACGGAAGTTTTATGCGCACTGTATCAATATACATCAGAATCGATGGTGTTGGCCAACACTGTTGTGCCCTGGCGTCCGAAAGTCTGACAACACAATGTGGCATGGACCTCGACCGTCGTTGGGTTCTCAAGCAACTGTATGAGAAGACTTACAAAGCGAGTTGTCCTATCTTCTGTTGTTCCGATGAGTCTTTGTGAATGGGATGAGTGAGCAAACTGTAGATGTGAGATATGCTTTGTTGCAGGGGAGGCATCAAGCTAGCATTAGCTGGTACAAAATACGGCTTGCTGGCATCTATGTGGAGCGGAGGCGATGGAATTTGCGCTGTTCGCCTTGGACTAGTTCCTCATCAGCTAACGTTCAGTGGTAACAACCTTCCGGTGCCCACCGGAAGGAGGCATGAGATCTGGGATACTGCCAGGGAAGTCGAGAGGCAGAGGTCAAGTTCGAACCACAGGCCTTCGCGCACTAACCACCTGCCATCTCGCCCCCTATTGGCGAAGCAAATTAACAAGGTCACCATTTATCTAACCCTGTAGCGGTGTCGGAAGTGACTTCCAACAGACAACATTGTATATTCAGGTCAGACAACGATTAACATCAGAGCGCGACCATCGCTACGATTCGAGGAAGACAGGCCTATTCATAGACTGCCATGCAGAGCCTTTTCAAAGTTCACCTCCGCCTCTAGTTGCGTCTTAATTGGCCACTGAAATAATGACGTGGATCCCAAAGTCTCTGCAAACGACGATCGAGGCAGACGACATGGTATCCATACCGAAGGGAAGAAAGCGCAAGCGCTGCTAAAGAGTCAGCCGGGGCTATCCAAATAATTCAGCAAGTATTCCGCACCCACAAAATGTAAAAAAAATCATTCAGCTGTAACACCCTTTGGGTACTTAGCTGCCAGGCCACACGAAGGATGCACGAGGGCTGAGATACTGCCAGGTTACCCAAGCCTAGACAAAGGAAGTCGAGAGGCAGAGGTCGGGTTCGAACCACGGATCTTTCGGTCATTAAATTCGCGTTTTAACCAGTTGAGCCATCTCGCCCCTCCAATGTGCTTATAGGGAAAGATATTAGGGGTTGTGGAACACTATATGCATCTCGTAATTCCTGATGGTAGTAGATGGTGCAGGTTGCTGTAGATGATGAAGTCAACGGGAGAAACTCAAACACCAGAACTACTTGTAGCATCAAAAAGGCATTCTGTTGAATTCTGAAAAAGTGCGTGTTTCAGACTACAGTACGGTTGTGAAGTTGCGGGGCTACAAGCGGAAGAGATGTAGCTGAAATCATTTGTAATCAAAGAAGTTGGGCAGTACGATGTTCGATGAAGTGACAAGTGTAGACGTAATATACTACTCATAAGGCTGCTCAAAACAGCATAAACGAGAGATTCAGATGGTTTTCAAGTGAGTACATACGATACAAAGCGACTTTATACACAAATCAATTCAGTCTAACGTGATAAATATTTAAAAGGAGGGAGCGATTCAATTGCGAACGTATGTAGCAATGTAAACCAACGTGGTTTTATCGCGAGCTACGCAGCCTTGTCGGTGTTTGCCAAAAATGACATGGCAGCCCATAAGCCAGAAAGATATTTGCTCAGATCGTCTTCGGCAGTCATGGTGTGGACATCATCAACACCAAAAGCTATTCTTATTCAAACCGGAAGTCTCTCTCTCCCTTAAGTAAGAAGATGAGAACCCAATAAGAGGTTACCAGTTAAACCAGTCACAAAGGCGTAATGGGAAGCCAGAAACGCCAGCCTAGAAGCGTAGGCAGCTCGGGACACCCGCAAAAGTCGGCTTTGTGGTCCTTCTCCAACTCAATGTCTTTCGGGGGGAGGGGCGAGATGGCTGGAGTGGTTACTGACCGGAAGATCCATGGTTCGAACCCGACCTCCCCCTCTCGACTTCCCCTGTCTCAACTTGGGCTACCCGGCAGTATCCCAGCCCTCGTACTTCCTTCGGGTAACACGGCAGCTAGGCACCGAAATGGCGCTACAGGTGAACGATTTTTTATAGATCAGTGTCTTTCGAAAGAAACTCGATAAGGTTAAGTATCAGCATCAACAAAGAAGGATGGTGATATTCACTGCGAGAACTATAAAACCCATGCCGGACACTGGGTAAAGGATCAGTGTCTTTCGAAAGAAACTCGATAAGGTTAAGTATCAGCATCAACAAAGAAGGATGGTGATATTCACTGCGAGAACTATAAAACCCATGCCGGACACTGGGTATGAGAAGGATCAGTGGTCACCGTCCCAATCTAATGACGAACCCCCGGCATCTCGACTGTCCCTGTCTAGGCCTGGTCAACTTGGCAGTGTGTCAGCCCTCCTGCTGCCCTCTGGTGGCATAACAGTTACGCACCGAAAGGATGTTACAACCGAACGGTTACCGATTATGGATTTACTGATCGAACGCCGACCTAAGAAAAACCAGATGTGGTAATACACAAAAGAATACTCACCCATATCAGCTCTCATTTCCTCCATTCCAGTGGAGCGTTTCAATGAAATGCCGCCAGAATCAAACGTGACTCCTTTGCCAACTAGCGCCACATGGTCCTTGCATCGAGCAGGGTTACCCTGGAAGGAGCGGGGAGACATCTTGGATGAATTGTTCAACATAACAGCGTTTCTGTAAGCAGTCTTTTGAGACAAAAAGAACTATTAAAGTTTTGGAGGGGCCAATCTCCTGATTATTTCGAAAGGTGCGGTTGGATGTTAGTCGGATGGGGATGAAAAATTTCGCGAATTTGACAGGAACGGGAACAAAAAATCGCAAAATCCCGTAGAGCCACCTGCAGTAGAGGAAGGGCTGGACAAAACAACGACAGGGTGAATCGACCCCCTAACATCATGTGACTTACCTCGTATACAATCTCCACGAAAGCCACGTGACGACGAGACCCAGCCCCTACAGATAGCAACCCATTCATGCGATGTTCGCGACACCATTCCGAACTCCGGATGTTCGTGCGTACTTGCGACATACCGTCGAACACGGAAGCGACATGTTGGGCAAAAGCGCTGGGGGGGAGATAGTTGGCTGGCATTTCCATCCACTTACGCGCCAAGTTTTGAGACATGGCCAGGATTCTGCCTCGTTCCCATGCTGCCAGCATGCTAGGCAAGTAGAAAGAAAACGAACAGGCAGGGAATTGGACGGCTTACTGGAACAATCTTGAGTGGGCCACATATGAACTCCATCGATGTCATTACATTCAATGCCACCATAAATAGCAAATCCTACTGTACAGAGGCCAGCCGTCCCTAATAACCGAACACCACATCATTTGGGCGCATGTGTCACGTGCAGGACATGGACCAAACGAAGGCATGCTCTGATTGGTCAGAATGCCAGCCTATCCGGATCGAGCATCTTTGACTCGACGCTTCTCGCCCCTCACAGTGATTCTAGCACGACCTTGTGGAACACTCTGTGACTACCCTATAAATACAGTTGTAACAATTTTCCTTTGTCTCCATGATGGGCTGTGTAGGGCTATCGTGTCTTTTGATATACCACAGTGGGCGGAGCAGGAAGCCAAGGGACCGATACAAAGTTGCACTACCGTTTAGCAAGACACAAGACCTACACTGAAGGAAACTGTATAGAGGAGAACAAACCACCAAAATGGTTTTTGGTGACCGCACGCATTGACTTTGAGTTAATTCCAAGTTCGTTGATAGCTCGTTGGGACAGAAATAAAAAACAAGTCAGATAGAAAAAACGATATGCATAAGGGACTCACTCTTCCTTGACTGATGCCCCGGATGATGATGAGGCCAAGTGGTTTGTGTAGCACGTGATGTGGGGTTTGATAGTCTGCCTGGCGATAGACTTCAGTTCGTCGTAGACGAACGCTGCCAGATAAGCACCCTCCGCAGCAACTTCCGCGTCCCCACAAGGGTCTACCAAAATCTCACGGGTTCCACGGCGCTAATGTGGAAGGATTTGGATAACGTCTGATTACAATCGAGCCCATGGAGAGGGCGCTCAGAAAACAGTTGAAATATATTCAAAAATCACCGTCGCCAGGAATGATTAGTGCGAAAACTTACTGATGAATATACTGCATGGCAAACATGGACTAGCACTCCCTGAGCCCAACTGGTTGTTTTGACGTTATATTGTCACCTAGCAATAATACACCATAATAAACAGTACAAACCGTTTTTTTTAATTATCACGTCGGTAGACTATGTGTGTCATTCAGCACACCCATTTTTCCCGTTTATTCGATTTCCGATAAATCAGAACGATTGTTTAGTGTGGGCGTATCTCCAAAATGTGGATCAAAAGGGACTATGGTTTGGAAATGGGTGGTTGTGTAAGGGTGTGACCAGTATGGGTTACCTAAGGACAAAGTGCCCAAGTTCAAAACAGCCTCACGATGCCACCGGGAGGGAGTGGGCGAGACGGCCCAAGTGGTTGGAGCGCGAATTTACTGACCGGAAGGTCCGTGGTTCGAACTCGACCTCTGCCAATCGACTTCCCTGTCTAGGTCTGGGCAACCTGACAGTATCCCAGCCCTCGTGCTTCCTCCGGGTGGCATGGCAGCTAGGCACCGAAAGGGTGTTACAGTTGAACGAGGAGGGAGTGAGTCCAAAACTGGCAAGCAGTTGGTGTTCTTCCTTCAGGCTGAATAAATTCACTTGTCCTTCCCATTCCCGAATGTGGCTCCCATTCTGATCCCAACAAATACCGGCCCCATCCCCAATTTCGTCCAAAGTTATTGAAGAATCCTGACCAAACAACTCCTCGTTTAACACAGCGCTCTTATGGGCGACTACAAATATGGTAAGAGTCCAGGCATCACCACTTCTAGGGGTGATGTACTATTCAAACTGTCAGATGTTTGGACTTTCTCTCTGGACGCTTTTGGTGGAATAAATGTGGTTGTCTTCGGCATTTTGAAGGCGGTTGACCGGGTCGGCGACGCCAAACTGTACACATAGGGAATATGCAGAAGTTCTGGTGATATCAAGAGGTTACAAGGCAACACAATTAGCCAGTAACTGTCCAAATTCGGTTCAAATTCTGATGACCAATCATTCAAGTAGTTCACAGAGCACACCTGCGGATCAACCCAGGCAAGCCAAGGTCACCAAGTCAGTAAGGCTCACGTGTTTTGGGCAGGAATATAGATAAACAATCGAAGCATTGCAAACGAAAAACGACCGATCGACTAAAGCAACCGAAGAACACCGTGGTTGGTTCTTTAGAGAGATCGAAAAACCATAGCAAAGATCCAAAAGGCATCCAGGAAGGCCACATGTAAGCTACTAAAGATCTATTGATGTTGCTTAATGAAATTCTCCCGCATCGAACCAAGGTCTGCTTCTTCAGTGATTTTCTGGGTTAGGTCTGCATCCATACTTGGGGATTTGGCTTGGAGATCTCTTGGATAAGTGTTGTATGCAAGTACTAACGGATGACGTCATCTTTCAGACACGACTCAAGTGGTTGGAGCGCAAATTTACTGAAGGAAGGTCTGTGGTTCGAACCTGACCTCTGCCTCTCGACCTCCCCAGTCTAGGCTTGGGCAACCTGGCAGTATCCCAACCCTCGTGCTTCCTTCGGGTAGCATGGCAGCTAGGCACCGGAAGGGTGTTACAGCTGAGCGATTTTTTCAGACACGAAAAACCAACGTCGTGATCGCCCAAATATCTGCGTTACTTTCCACATCATCCTTTTTCTATGTGAACCATGCTACTCTCACTTTCTCTTCATCATATCTGCTCTTCATTCGGTCTGTGTAACGCCCGGGCGAAAGGCACCACTGTCAGAGATAACAATCTTGTCAAAATCATCGACTGGGGCTCGTTGAACTCAGCAACACTCAACCTTACTAGGTCTCTCATAATCATTGTCAGCTGTAATCACCGCGTACTTGTCGTACAGTGGTTGTAGCTGCCACAGTTTCGTTCACCGATGATTCG